CACACACACACACACACACACACACACACACACACACACACACACACACACACACACACACACACAACGTCGCTAGTGCTGCAAGGTCACATGCCAGCGGCCTGCCTGTCGCGGCATGGCGCGCCTACTTATTGTTTTAAAGGCTAATTCTATAAGCCCAACGAATTCAATTACCTGTCGAATCTGGACATTTATTGTCATTGTAGTATTATGGGGAACCTTGTAGCAGCCACATCCGTGCTCAAGCCTCCAACGAGGAAACATGCGGGAGCTGCACCCACCAGCAGGTGTGATACCTGCTTCAGCAGGTGGGCGATACCGGCTAGGGGTCAGCCGGTAGCATCAGGACTGAACTTCTTCAATGGGCCGGTCATTGTGTCTCCCCTCCGGCTCCCTTCCCCTATGAACATCAGCAGTCTCTGCTCAACGCCACTTGAGGGGATCAACGACATATCTCTAGGTGGCGGGCGCCAAGCTTGCCTAGGAAGGTACATGAGGCATGGGGATTGAACCCAGCGTGCGTTACCAACTTAGCTAGGCCGCTGGATAGGCAGCGGGGTTCGTGTGCCTTCGGACTCGAGGAATAAAAAATAAAATATAAAAAGGTTTGAGTTTTTTCGCTGTGCAGTTTCCCGTACCCGTACGTATTTTTGGTCAATGCAGAGCGGACGTGGCGAACTGTGGCGCGGACGCAAACGTATGTGAGAAGGAATTTGTGTTGTTGACGGGCAGACCGGGGTGGGTGGAGAGTTGAGGGATCATTTGAGGGTGGAGGGGTGAAGAGCAATCGTGGGTGGACGAATGTGGGTTGTTTACGTTGGTAGTTGCACGTGGGCAAAACGTGTAGCGCACGTGGGCGCGTTGTGCAACGCAGATGGGCGACGAGAGTGGATGTTGTTGAAATGTCAAAGAAGATTATCACTCGCCCACACCAAATGGAAGACTCTATAGATATGTAAATATATAGAGGGTTCAGCCTCCTGATGAGTCGGTGAAACTCCGACGAAACAGTTTGTCACAGCCCCTCGTTTGTTGTCCTCGTCTCTCTCTCTGCCTACGGTTTTACCGGGCAGTTCTGTTTGTGACGATATATATATATATATTTATATATATCCCTTAAGGAGCATTGGCCGCGGGGGGAGGTCGATGGTCCGCTACGCGCCAGATTCGGGGTCGAAGTTTTGACGAGGGGCGGTGGATGAAGGCGATCCAAGGCGGGGGAGTGTGCAGAAGGGCGTGCATACCGAAATGTTCGTTGTGCGCCATTAAAAGAGAAAGCGCGCTCAAGGGGCCAAGCGGCGGCGGGCGTAGATGCAAGTAAATATCTCGAAGTGCACGCCGTCGATAAGCGGTCGGCACGGACTTCTTTTTTTTTTTGGTTTTTGTTCCGGTCGTGTCATTTCCTGATGGCTTTTCTTTTCTTTTTTGCGTATCGGTCGTGTCGTTTCCCGCTGGCTTTTTTTTTCTTTTTCATCGCGACGGGTTTGTCGAAAGAGTTTTTTTGGTTTTCGTTCCCCCTGCGTCGTTTGTGTCGTTTCCTGCCTAATTTTGTTTTGTTTTCGTTCCCCGCTTTCGATTTTCGGTTTTGTGTTTTCGTTCCCCTCGTGTCGCCTGTGTCCAACGGGATTTTTTCAACTCCGTTGTACCCGTTGTACACCGTTGAGGGTCCCGTTGAATCCCCATTGGATGATACAATGGGGGCTTCCCGTTGAATACAAATCAACGGGTCGAGCCCAATGGGCCTCGGACAAGTGGCGGGACACGCTGGGAAAAAAAAAAGTAAAAAATATGGATGAATCTCCCGTAAGAAAGCGGACAGGTTCATTACCTTCTCGAAGACCGCCCCTGAGCGCAGCTCCCGGCAGTGACCCCGGGCAAACCACTAACCTATAGATTAATCTAGAAGTATCATCCGGCTCGCAGCACCCGAAAACCCCCGATTAACTCCCTAGCTCGCTCGGTTTTCTGGCGAATTGAGTGAGATCTCAATTTTCACTCTCATCACCTTCGCACGCCCCGCCATAGCTCCGCGCGAGCTTTTTCCTACTAATCTTCTAGTCTACTAACTCTCCTCTCAATCTAACCACGGATTCTTGGTCGCCCTAGCCTAAACCCCATCTTACTATCTCCACTCGCTCGATTCTACGGAGAATCGAGTGAGTTCCCACTTTTCTCCTCTCTGCTACTGCCAGCCTCCGCCATCTCCCGCTCGTCTTCTTTCTCTCCACGACGCGCAAGTAAGTGAGTGTGTTTGTGTGTGTGTGTGTGTGTGTGTGTGTGTGTGTGTGTGTGATTGGGTGGGGGTGGGGGGGGCGACCCATCCCCCACCAATCAATCAATCAATCAACCAAAAAAAAAAAAAAAAAAAAAAGAAGAAAAAGGCCGCTTTCAAACCCCGCGCAAGTTAGTAAGTGTGTGCGTGTGTGTGTGTGTGTGTGTGTGATTGGGTGGGTGTGGAGGGGGTGACTCATGCCCCACCAATCAATCAAGCAAGCAAGCAAGCAACCAATCAAAAAAACATTAAAAGTAAAAAAAAAAACCGAAAAAAGCC